CAAGGTTGAAATCAATTCTTTATACGCTTTTCTTTTTTCACGAACTTCAAACGGAGTGTCTTTCAAAACCCTGATGGGTGTAGTTCCCAGCTGCAGGGGATTAGCTACTGTTACTTTTAGAATATCATCTCTCGTCTGTCTTCAGAGAAACTTGATGACAATCTCACCCGGCAGGTTCTTCCGTTTAATATATTTTGAGTATGATCGATAGACCACCTCAATCTCTGCTTCCACTTCTACCAATGAGCAACCTATCGCGGGTGCAATAAGCTCTGGCATCATCTTTTTCAAGTTTTCTCCTTGCGATTCAGCTATCCCCTGAAACCTGAGTATCTTGTTTGCTTTTTCCATTTGAAGATTCAACAATCTGCATTCCTGTAAGTCCTGTCTCTGTTCTAGCAGACCAACTTTCTTTTTGACTTTCTTGGTATCGTGCACTGTCTCTTTAAGTTTTTCGTCTGTTTGGATCGACTTTTTAACCAACTCGGCAATCTGCTGCTGTTGCTTTGCTAGTCTACATCTGGGAACCTATTCAACTGCCTTGGCAGAACCATCAATGGTCAGAAAATCCATTCAGCTAGCCCCATTGAAGTAATCTAACACCTGGTCACATCTAGGTCTTGCCCATCCTGATGCCGCATACCCTGGGATTCATCATTGGCCCTGGTAATCTTTTGTCTTCACCTGAGACAACACCCTCAAGACCTTCTATTGCTCTGCATTGCTTTCCAATGTCTATATCTGTCAGAGCACATGGCCTCAGAATGTGTGTCTGCCCTTGATGCCAATTGGCAGTTCACCCCTAAACCTTTGGTTTGGGCCATATTCTCATTTCCATGTACCCCTACACATCTGGACAGGTTGTACTGCCCTGTAATGGTGTCACGCTCCCCCTTCTTCTTAGGGACGGCGCCCCCGGTGGCCGTTGTGTGGCCGTTGGTCTACACCCCGCAGGGAGTTGTGTGGCCCCGGAGATTGCTGACTGGTTCCAATCCTAGCCACACTGTACAAATACGCATTTGGATAATGGAGCAGGAGAAGATAATGGAATTTGTAATTTCTCAGAAAATAAATAAAATAAATAAATATAAGTTTATGCATGGCATAGAGAAGGTTGAGAAAGAAGTACTTTTCTCCCTTTCTCATAATGCTGTATTGAAAGAGTTAATCCAGTTCTCAGTCTTGATTTGACATATCAAGTAGCATTGATCAAGACATCAAAGCAAAACTAGTAAATGAACAGGAGGTGGCGGTGGCTACAAGCATGGACAGCTTCAAGAGGGAATTAGATAAGCATATGGAGCAGAGGTCCATCAGTGGCTATTAGCACAAGGTATCGATAGGAACTCTCAGACTTGGGCAAGTGATGCACTGTATTCTTGGTGGTTGAGGGGGGGCAACAGTGGGATAGCTTCTAGTGTCCTGGCCCCACTGATGGACCTCCTGATGGCACCTGGTATTTTGACCACTGTGTGACAGAGTGTTAGACTGGATGGGCCACTGACCTGATCCAACACTGGCTTCTCTGATGTTCTTATGTTTTTAAAGCTATTTACCTCAAAAGGTAATGAGAATCGTGAGAGTTGTGGTGTCGATGTCAAGGGGAATTGGAGCATCCTGACCTTTGGTTGTCTATGGCAGGTATAACTCATAAGAAAATGAACCTAGCCATTTCTAAACTGGGCACCAGCTTCAAGGTGATGGTTTGGATATTCAGTGCCAGAAATGAAGGGAATCAGACCCTCCTAGTACAGATTATATCCCAAACATCTCTATGTTATTTGCAATGCAAAATAAATAAATAAAAGAAACCAAGAACAGGAAAGCAGCACGGATAGGAAGGATGGAAGATATCCTCAGTGGTTAGAATGCTACCCTAGGATCAAGGAGATACAGGATTGAATCACCACAAAAGGTTTCTGGATAACTTTGGGCCAGTCACACCCTCTCCTCCATATCCACCTCATAGAATTGTTGTGAAGGTAAAATGGAGTCGAGAAGAACCACATAAGCTGCTTCATGTCCCCACTGGGGGGAATGGCAGCACAGACAGGTAGGCTGGAACATTCTATGGCAGGTATAACTCATAAGAAAATGAACCTAGCCATTTCTAAACTGGGCACCAGCTTCAAGGTGATGGTTTGGATATTCAGTGCCAGAAATGAAGGGAATCAGACCCTCCTAGTACAGATTATATCCCAAACATCTCTATGTTATTTGCAATGCAAAATAAATAAATAAAAGAAACCAAGAACAGGAAAGCAGCACGGATAGGAAGGATGGAAGATATCCTCAGTGGTTAGAATGCTACCCTAGGATCAAGGAGATACAGGATTGAATCACCACAAAAGGTTTCTGGATAACTTTGGGCCAGTCACACCCTCTCCTCCATATCCACCTCATAGAATTGTTGTGAAGGTAAAATGGAGTCGAGAAGAACCACATAAGCTGCTTCATGTCCCCACTGGGGGGAATGGCAGCACAGACAGGTAGGCTGGAACATATTTCCTCCTTCACAAAAATAAAGAGACTTTAATACCCTCCCCGTTCTATCCAAGCCGGTGTCATGTAGCGGTCGGAATGTTGGACTTGGATCAAGGAGAACCAGGCTGGAAGCCCCACTCTGCCATGGAAGGTTGCCAGATGATTTTCAGCTGGTCATACTTCATGCTCCCTCTAAGCCGTGGAGTCTTGTGAGCAAAAATTCTACTTTGCAAGCTACTGGATGTAAAGTACTGGGTTTGCTGCATGGAGACTCAGACTATGACATGCGTACAGACGCGTTTATTGTACTTCACATACAAGATAGAAAATCTGGCCCTGTAAGGGCCAACTATATACACACAACCCAGCACACCCAGGGTCCCCATAGGAGGATTTGAATTTCCCACCAGAGGGCCTATTCGTGGACACAAGGTGGTTTAGAATCCGAGGTTCCCTTTGTGTCCGGGAACCAAGCTCCTAACTTTAGCTGCGGACCTCTGGTGGCGGTCCGCGTACATAACACTGGCATTAAAGTTGTGAGTGAGCAATTTGGCTACTGCATAAATTAGTTTGCTCTGGAGCCATCCTTCCAGAGCTAAGACAAAAATGTGTGAGCCAGAGGCTAAAAAAGCCCGTGCGCTAGCTCACACTAACTCAACATAGAGGGAACACTAGTCACACTCTCTCAGCCAGACCTGCCTCACAGAGTAGCTGTAAGCATAAAATATAGTAGAGGAGAACAATGCAAGCTGCCTTCTTCCCCCTCTGGGGACAATTTATAATAGTCCATTATAAATCTTATTTTGGCTGCCTTTAGCAAGAAGGGATGATTGGTCTTGCTGTAGCTTTACTCTGCAGATCACTCCCAGTCTGCTGACACCCCATTGGCTGCCCATCTGTTACCATGCTCAGTTTAAAGTATTGGGTATCACATACAAAGCCCTTCATGGCCTTGTCCCTCTTATTTGTGGGACTTTCTCGCTCCCTATGCTATGCCATGGCAACTTTGCTCAAGTCACTGGTAAGCCGTACATGTGTTTTCTCCATTGTGGTTCCTGCCTTGTGGAATGGCCTGCATAGAACTTTATTGACTCCTTCCCCCCCTCGCCTGTCCACCCAGTCACAAAATGTAAGCAGAGGTTTTCCCCCACAGTAGTGCAGGGTATCTATGTAGTCAGTGGCAGGCTGCTCAGAAGCATGGGAGGCTGATCTCATGGACTGAGGTGGTGCCAGCTTAAAATAAAGCAAGGGATTGTGGGCTGAGATGTGTCTCAATTTCAACCCCCATCTGATATTCTGGACTGATGGCATCACTGAAACTCAGGGGCATGGTGTAATGGAGAAATCCCAGTTGCCTTCACCTATGCATTCTGTCTTTGGTGGTGACTCAAAATGGAGAACTAGGTCTTAGGAACTTTAGCTTTCTTGTGGGAGGTTCTGTCCATTATTTGAAATCAATAGTTGTGAGACATGTGCCCAGTTAGTTTTCAGCATGAAGCAGCACCTTAAGGTCTCCACTCACAGGGTGTGTTCAGACAGGGCATTTACAACGATATAGGTGCCGGTTGGAATCAGTGTTACTCTGCCCCAAGTGCCATTTTAAAAGTGATTAAAAACAAGACAGCTCCTGTGTTTCCCTCAGGTTCCTCTGTTGGGTCATAAGCCTAAACAACTCTCTGTATCAGAGTGGAACATTTTGGTGATTTAAGTCTAAGAAAAGGAATAAACACTACTTGAGGGTGACTCAGTCACTGAAGGGAACTAAAAGGTTTTGGCTGGAAAATCTGCCTGTGAGTCAGGAAGTTACTGGGGCCTGTCATAGACCCCCTTATCTCAAGGATCATCTCTTTCCATATGTCCCTGTGTGCCAACTATTGTCTTCAGCCACCTACTGGCTGTTCCCTCACATTAACAACTAAACTGTTCTATTCTAGCTTCCATAGAGAGGTGTGGGGTGCTTTGGAAGTGAGAAGGTGCCATCACTAGAAAGCTTCAGATACATATTGCAGAACCATTTCATTTTCTAGGGCTTTTAGTAGTGCATAGACTGCAGGAACTTTTTAGGGGGCATTATTTGGGATTTTACTTTGTAGGTTCCAGCTGCCATACAGAAAGGCAGGATATAAATAAACATATTTTCTTCTGCAATTCCACTGGGAACCCCAACTTTGACCATTATCTTCCCCTTCAATAATAAAAGGACCATAATTTAATTTGCCACTTGACCAAATCCCTATGGACTTTCAAAGTGTTCATATGGAACTAATTACAGGGAAGGTGAAAGATGCTCCAGATATACCTCATCAGAACTACAAATGAGACCCCTGACTACAAATAGGCTAGACTAGATCCATCAGTCTGATCCCTGAGACTTTACATTTGAAAATCCGGGCTTCAGGTTTATCAGCAGAAAGGATGTTAATTCACATCAGGCTGTCGTAATCCTGGGAGGTCTGGTGACAGTGCCTCTCGGTAGTAAAGCCAGGGCCTGTATTTAAGGAAGATGTATACGCAAGATGGAGGTATTTGTGTCATTACAGCTGCTCCTGCTTTATCACAAAGTATTTAAGGCTCACATTGTGAAGTGTAGGATAAGAGACCTAGACCCACCCATCCAAGAGTATCACCAATCAGGAGACCTCTTTGTTGGTGGTATTGCTTCTCAGAGTTTCAACATGAATCCCATAAAATTCACTGAATACCCCCGGTTTGCATTGGCGGATGAGCTCGTGTAAGCATTAATTATCTCTAAGTTAATTTTTACATTTCCTTTTCAGCTCCCTGGGCATTCTATTTTGGCAGCCATGTCCCATTATCATTTGAAAAATTAATCAAATGCCTTTATACTGTGGTTTCTTTGGCTTCTTGAGTTCTTCTGCCCTGATTTCTTTCTGTTTGCCTTCCTGTTACCACAGAAGTACATGTAAACCTGCCTTATTTCAGGTCAGGTTAGTGCTTCGCCAAACACAATATTCTCGTCTCTTTCTGGCAGTTGATTCTCATGGTCTGAAGCAGGGAAGGTTCTTTGCCAACACTGTTTCCTTGTGATCCTTTAAGTGGGTGAAGCAGAGATGGAATCCGGGACTCTCTGTATGCAAAGTGCTCTGCAGCTGAGTTGAAAGCCGTCCCCATGGGCATTCCAATCTCTACGATAGGTAGCGGTTTCCACTATTAGTAAATTCATTTTTTCCCACACATTCCTGGATGCATAACTAGGAAGTTTGTTACAGATCTTTCTGAGGCTGAATGAGGTTGTTGCTTAAATGATGCGATAACGTCCCAGGTTCTGGAAACTTGGAGGGGTTTGACATGTATGTTCCTTGGAGCTCCTCAAAAGAAGGGCAGCATACATAAGACATGCTTTTTAAAGTTTGTGCTATCCTTGTATCATTCATATCATGGCTAAAACAGAAGTCCTTTATAAATGATAATAAATAGCAATAAATATAATAAATGTATAATCATAAAGAATAAATGAAAATGGCGCAGAATACAATGCAATGGATGTAAAATATCTTTCTGATACACCGTTCAATGCAATTCTCATTCCAGTACCATACCTAAGCATTACCAGCACATGCTGGCCTTGGAATACGCTGTAAAGGAGATCAATGAAAATCCAGCAATCTTACCCAATGTCACCTTGGGCTTTCAAATCTACGACAGCTATTTCAGTGCTAAGCCGACTTATCATGCCATAATTCAACTGATGTCCACTCCAAAGTTGTCTGTTCCTAACTTCAAATGTGACGTCCAGAATAATCTGCTAGCCATCATTGGGGGATTGGACTCCAAGACCTCTCTCGATGTGGCAGCAATGCTGGACATCTATAAGATTCCACAGGTAAGGTGGCTGAATGTATGGGCATTTAACCCTTCTCTTATTCTTCCAGAATCATTTATCGGGTGGAAGAAGAAAATAAATGCATATATGTATTTATGATGGCTGAGTGTATGGGGGTTTGACACTTTTTAAAACATTCTGTTTATTCCTCCAGAATTAATTATTCAGTTGAAGAAAACAAAGCATTTAAAATATAGTTACATAGATTTTTTTCCCTCAACTACTTTGTCTGTTATTGCATGGGAAAGCAGCACATTATTATTTATTCCCATTCCAAAATCTGCTTTAGCTGATGTACGGCTTTGCTCCACTGATGAAGGATACAAATCCAGGACTCTCCTTCTACCAGATGTACCCTAATGAAGCCCTCCAGCATGCAGGGATTCTCTCCTTACTACTGCACTTCAAATGGACGTGGATTGGGGTCCTTGTTATGGATGATGACATGGGAGAAAGCATTGTGCGGACTGTACTTCCACTGTTTTCCAAGCATGGTGTCTGTTTTGCCTTCATACTTAGAAGCCCCAGATCAATGTTCCTCACAGAATATCAGGACATGGTTCAACAGGGTTCAGAAATATATGAAGAAATAATGAATAGCAAAGCCAACGTATTTGTGGCATTTGGCCATTCATACAGTATCAATGATCTGAGATGGTTGGCGTACCTGTCACACTGGGGACGTATCCCATGGAAAACAAAAGGTAAAGTGTGGATACTGACAGCCCAGATGGATTTCACTTCTTACGTTTATCAAAGGGATTGGGATACAGACATGATCCATGGCACTCTGGCCTTTGCCATACATTCCACTCATCTTCCAGGATTTCAGAAATTTGTTGAGAACAGAAACCCTTCCAACGCAAAAGGTGATGGTTTTATATGGAACTTCTGGCGCAATGCCTTTAACTGTGTATTCCCAAATCAAGTTCAGGGTGAAGTGATGGATGGTAATTGCACGGGGCAAGAGACGTTGGAAAGCCTTCATGGATCTTTTTTTGAAATCAGTATGACTAGCCACAGCTATAGTATTTACAATGCTGTCTATGCTGTGGCCCATGCTACACATGCCATGCACCAGACAAAGCACAGAACAACGGTAAAGCGTTTGACTCTTCTGGATCAAAACCAATGGCAGGTAAGAGCTTTGGATGCAAATTCAGTAGATCACCATTTTTTATAGATGGAAAATTGGGTTTGTATTTGCATACGAAACAATAGCTCAAAATTCTTTTGCTCATGTCCTTTTTTGCCTCCATCTGAAATTTCACTCAGCAGTCCCAGTTAACTTCCTTGTATAAGAGCTTGCCATAGATGTATTGCATGATGTTGTACTGATACTAATTTATACAGTACCTTCTCCTGCCCTCTCTGGGTCTGAAGGGGCGATCTCTCATTCTCTTGTTATCTGAAAGCAGGATAGGGCATCCCCATGAGAGCCAGTTTGGTGTAGTGGTTATGAGCATGGACTCTAATCTGGGAGAACCGGATTCGATTCCCGTCTCCTCCACATGCAGCTGCTGGTGTGACCTTGGGTCAGTTTCAAGTTCTTTCAGAGCTGTTCTCTCAGGGGCAGTTCTCAAAAGAGTTCTCTCAGCCCTACCTACCTCACAGGGGGTCAGTTATGGGGAGGGAAAGGGAAAGGAGATGGTAAGCTGCTCTGAGACTCCTTTGGGTAGTGAAGGGTGGGGTGTAAATCCAAGCTCCTCCTCCTCCTCTTCCTCCTCCTCCTCCTCTTCTGCTGCTCCTATATTGCAAGAATTCCCCCCCCCCCCCCCGCAAATAGCACTTCTCTCCATCCTCCTCTGCATCTCTCTCTGTGTCTGAGGAGTTAGTAGTTCTTGGGCTGTCAGACCATAACATGAAAAACAGACCACGATACTTCCTGAAGTTTTCCTTTAAGGAATGAAATACCTTTTGCCTTGAAGGTCTGAATCCCAGCAAGTTCGATGTGTGGATTTGTCTAGTACCATTGCAAGGGATGCAGCTGCAGTTTACATTTTCCTTATAGATTGTGATTTTGCCAGGATGGCAAGGGATAGGGGAAAAAAACATGGGAAGAGAGTGGGTTGGATCCAACCTTTTTTTTTTTTTGCTGGTAAAAAAGGGAAGGAAGGGATCTTTTCTGACCACCCAGAATGGTTCAGCTGAGGCTCATGGGACCTGGCTGGAGTTAAAGCCACATGGGTTGAAGGCTGAAGTAAGGAGGAAGAATTGGGCAAGGCTGAATGAAAGCTGGCTGGATCCAACCTGATAATGCTGGATGCTGTCGATCAAATCTTCCTTTAATCTTAGGAAGTCTCTCGTGCTTAGAGACAGTTCGCTAAGAACACCTTTGGTATACAAAGATACTTCTTCTTTTTTTGAGGGGTGAAATTTAGATCATGAAAATGAGTTGTGTTCAAGGGCTAATATCCTTTCCTAAAGGGCAGGAGCTTAGATTGGGGACCAACATGGATGCTTAAAATCATGGATCAAACAGAACATGCTCCTTTCACCTCTGATTCATTGATTTTGCAATGTTAAGCCTTATACTCTTTTTATAAACACACTAAGTAAAACCCAGCATTTTTAAAGGTGCCGTGGGTTAAGATACACACGAATGTACATGCAAATGCAGGGTAAACCATTTTATATGCACCTTTAAGACTAACTTTATTGTAGCATAAGCTTTTGAGAAGCACAGCTCTCTTCGTCAGATGCATGGAGGGTCTCCATGCATCTGACGAAGAGAGCTGTGTTTCTTGAAATATCATGCTACAATAAAATTTCTTAGTCCTAAAGGTGCTATTGGTTGTTTTTTTTTACTATTTTGCAACAACAGACTAACACGGCTAACTCCTCTGGATCTATGACCATGTTTATGCATTATACATTATACCATCACCACCAAATAAAGACAGCAGACACCAAAGTGTGGATTAAACGAGGTTGCATTAAATGGCTGATCTGCATCATTGTCACTCCATTAGCTAGGAGCAGTTTGTCAAACATAACCAGCATCACACCATATTTTATTTATTGTAGCCTCCACATTAACTCTGTTCCCTCCAGAGTGTGGTTGAGCAATAGGTGTGGTCGAAGCTGCTCAGTCAGTTAAAAAACAAACAAACCTGCCTGGCTCTTAATAGACAATCAGGTAATCACTTGGTGTGTCAACAGAATCTGGCAAATGGCTGACTAAGGGAGCAAGAGTGTCCCTCTGCCATTCCCATTGTCTTGTCATCAGTCTAACTAGAGATGTGAAGGCCTGGAAAAAAACCGAAAAAATTTGGGGGGAAAACAGTTTTTTTCCCTGAAGCCTTTTTGTTTTTTTCTGAAAAATTGGAAAAATTGAAAAAAGAAAAAAAAAACTGACTATGGAACATTTTATTTTAACATGATGAATAAAATATTTTAAGACAAAGTGTTTAAATATTTTCCAAATAATTTCCAATATATATATATATGGTATCAGATTGATCTAATTTCTGTGCACTGAGGACAAGAAAGTCCTAAGTTACAAACAGAACTCTCCAATGCAAGAACAAGATGCATTTCTCCCTTTAGGAGATGCGATTGTCAGAAGAAAATAAAAAAATCAGTTTTGTTTTTGCATGTGGGAGGGTATTCTGTTTGTACTAATTGTTTGGATACACTATATTTTTAATATGCTAGTTGTGATAATTTCATGCCAAGTAAAAATGTCCATACTCATATTTTATGTTCCTAAAGTAACAGAATGACTTTCAATCTAGAAAAGACAAAATAAATGTTAATGTAGCATTTTTTCAATTTTTCCGAAAATTTCCATTTTCCCCCGAAAAAACCCGGGTTTTTTTCTGAGCTTCAAAATTTCCAAGTCTAACTCTTCCAGTCATGTCTTGCACCACATTTGAGTAATAGTGGCTGCCCCACCAGTGTCCCTGGCTCAATCAGACTCAAGAATGAATTCATACAGATGGCGATGTGCTCAGAAAATGATTTACTGCATGCTTGTTTGCATGTTTGTTTTAGTCATTAAATTAGCTGTTGCAATGATTGGAAGCTCCTCAAAGGGAATTCTTGTGTTCCTGTCCTTGGTCATGTTGCCACAGTGCTGACTACTGTCATTTTCAAACTCTGAGTCATAAATTGTCACATTTTTTCCTGTCACTTCCCCACTGCTCTTCTCACCACCACTAAATGGGTTGTTTGTAAAAGTTCATTATGCCACTTCACTTGGTCATCATTCGTTATCATTTCTTGTGGCTGCAAATAAGACAGATGTCCTCAGCTGGAACTGTATAGTTTAAAAATGTAGGGCTCCATGGTACAGTTATGAAAGTGCTGTAAACCATCTGGCATCTTTCAAATATTTTCAGTACTGAGGGATTGACCTGCATCCTAATGCTTTGTGAATCAGTCAAATATATGTTAAAAAGAAAGTGATCTTTTATTTATTGAGACAACTCCTAATAGTTTGTGAACTCATCACTTGCCATATTGTATGCCATCAGGACCTGGAGGCTTACTGGTTTTTAAGTTCCCCAGTATGTCTAGAACTTCATCTCTGGTCCCCTCAATCTGACACAGTTCTTTAGGCTTCCTTCCAGAAAATAGTGGCTGTGGCATGGGTATGTGCCCCACACTTTCCACAGTTAACATAGATGCAAAGAATTCATGCCATCTCTCTGCCATCTCTCCATCTTCCTTTAGCAATCCTTTTACTCCTTGGTCATCCATATGGTGAACTGCTTCTCTGGCTGGTTTCCTGTTCTGAATATATTTAAAGAAATATTTAATGTTTGTCTTGATGCTTTTGGCAATTCAGTTCTCAAATTATCTTTACACATGCCTTATTGTAAACTTCTTTTAATGTAGCCTTTGGTCCCTTCTGTTCAATTCATTGGGGCAGACCTTCCACTTTTTAGAAGAATATTTTGTTGCTTTTTATGGCATCTTTGCCTTGCATTGTTAAACATGCAGGCACTATTTTGGACTTGGCCGTACCTTTCCTAACCAGGGGAACACATCCTATGTTGGCTTCATTTAGCATGCTTTTCAAGAGCTTTCAAGCATTAGGGCTTTTATTCGCATGCATTTATCTTCAGATTCTGTTTAACTATTCCCTTCATTTTTTTTTTTTTGTAAAGTTCCCTCTTTTGAACTCAAAAGTTACTGTTTGGGACTTTGGGGTAACCTTCCAGAGACATGAATGTTGACCTTAATAGCATTGTGGTCTCTGTTTCTAACTGATGCAAAACATGTACATTCTCACCAAGTCAGAACCAAGTCCAGGATCACTACCCCTGTGGGTGGCTCTGTGACCAACTGTTCCAGTGTACAATCTCATTTCTGCAGCCTGATTTGATCACATGTTTATCCAGTCAATGTGAGGGTAGTTAAACTCTCACAGTATCACAACATTATCTGCTTTAGACACCTCTCTTATTCAAGGGCAGTTCTCGGGAGAGCTGTCTCAGCCCCACCTACTTCACAGAGGGTCTGCTGTGGGAGGGGGGGGGAAAGAGATTGTAAACCACTCTGATACTCCTCTGGGTAGTGTAGAGCAGGGTGTAAATCCAGTCTCCTCCTCCTCATTCTGCATTTCAACATCAGCCTCAAGGTTTTGATCAGGTTTTGATTTGGGCAGTAGTACACCTCTATTTTTAAGTAAACCTTAAGGCCCAGTATTTCCACCCATATAACTCCTGTTCATCCCCATAATGTTTTCTAACTTATTTGAGTCTATGTCATGTTTGACCTCCACAAACACATCCCTTCTTGGCTCAGAGGTTTATGGCATAGGTGTCTAGCTATAACACACTGCTGCCTTCATAAATGTAATTCTGAAAGATCCAATATATCCAAGTCCAATTGCTGCATTTCTAAAATCTTGTTTTTCCACCTAGCTCCACTATTTCCTTAGAAATATTGAATTTAACAACAGTGCTGGGGAAAAAATTTCATTGAACAAGAATGGGGAGTTAATAGCTGGATTTGATATTGAGAACTGGATTATTTCCTCAAACCAATCCTTTCACAGAGTGAAACTTGGCAGGATGGATCTCCAGGATCCCCAGGCTCATTTCCAACAAGCATTCACCATCAATGATAAAGACATCATATGGCCACAATGGTTTAACCAGGTAGGATCCAGTGGCCCAAAGTTCAAAGCATCTTTTAGTTATGAATTAGCATTGAATTGCAGACCTTTCACACTGGTGAAAAAGGGACAGACAGGTCCCCTTTGACCACCCCCAAAAGCTATTAGGGGCTTTATGGGACCTGTCTGAAAAAAGCCATATGACACCAGAATGATAGTAATGAGGAGAACTGGGTGAGATTAAGTGAAAAAGCCCACGTGATGCCACCTCTGTTGTGTGAGCTAATTCCACTGAGCACTAGCGAGCAACTAGAAAACAGTACTGAGCCGTTATAAAAACTATGTTTGATTTGATTTGGTTGGAACTCATACAGCAATGGAAGTTCTAGTCTTTTTTTCTGGAACATTTGTATAATTTAATTAGGCCTTTATTATTTGGAAAATTTAGATGATTAACTCATATGGACATTACTGTTTATTTCATATTAGTTAATTTATTTAAACAGTTATATCTCACCTTCCTTTGTGGTTCAAGGCAGCTTGCGACGATAATCAAAAACAAGATAATAGTTAACCTACATAAAATAATTATTTGATTATTTTTACTTGGGCAACATCAATTATCCAAGCATTTTGAGTGATGTAACAGATGAGGATTCAGAAATTTGTCCTTGACCATGTACAGCTTTTTAAATTCTCTCCTTATTATGGATACAGTATCACTTATTATGAGTACTTCATAAATATTTTATGAATTGTCAGCTGGCCCAGCCGACATGATTCCAGCATTTCAAATATGACTGTGGTAGAATAGTAGGAAGTAGTGCATAAGTGTATCTTAAACAAATAAACACATGAAAGAATGAATTCCTCTCTAAACAATCCCTCTAATCTTTTCGTTGCTCATTAGACAAAGCCAAGTTCTGTATGTAGTAAGAATTGCCACCCTGGCTATAGCAAGATAGTGAAAGAGGGGGAACCATTTTGTTGTTACACTTGCCTGCCATGTCCGTATGGAAAGATATCGGACCAAAAGGGTAAGAAATATACTTATTTATTGTTGCTATGTATGAAATAAACTCTGATTCATATATCTCACCAGAATTAAATAGCCACAGAAACAACATGACTCTCAGGAAAAAAATAGAAGGAGATAGCGTCCTCTGTTTACTATGGGAAAATCTCATTTTTCTTTGAATTTTTTATGTATATATGGTACTGCACTTAATATCATGACCCTTTCCCTCATATAAACCCACTCTCTTCCCTGCCCCCAAACAGTCTAGGTGAGACAGGGAGGTATAAACATGAAGGGAGAAACCAAGAAATAAAACAGAAAAGAATGAATGGGAGGGGGAGGCTAACCTTATCCAAACAATGCATTTTAAAATGTGTTCTATGCTGTATTTTATCTACGCCAATAAAGGTTGATTGACTGACTGACCTTATCCAAACAGATAAAATAAACTGTCTTTTATGTTTCACAAAACCTCTAAAAATGTAGTCCAAAATCCATTATATTTCGCGTCTGTACCCTATCTATGAAAAACGTTTTTTGCCCAATCCCTGCCAAAAACATTGTTGAGCTTCCTAAAAATACACTGTTGTCATGCAGCCTCCAACCAGAAAGGTGTGAAAAATGAAAATGTCATTGCCAACTGATTCAGGTTTTGAACTTCGATTGAAGGTTCTGTGAGGATGGGGTGGGTGAAAGCTGCTGAGAAGCAGCTAATCTGATGATAATTCACTGACTGTAGACCCTATCCTGATGACATAATGGTGGACATTTCTACTGATCTGATTTAAACACCACTGTGTAGTTCAATTTGGTGTATCTTTGAAAGCTGGTTGGAATCTAGAATGGAAAATGTGGACTAATTCCTTGAATAGGGTGGATCACTAGACACAATTAAGTGGGGCTCTTTGATCTCAGTTTCTTTTGCCATTACTCCCTTCATCTACAAAGTTTGAACTTCATCAGGCTGTGAAAGATCACTATGTAATAAATGGCTATTCTTATCCTCACATCTCTGCTACAGTTCAGAGGATCAATACTGGACAAAGCCTTTTCTTCTTTGAGTGAAAAACTTTGAATCTGCATAAAGAATAGCGAACAAATTTTCGTAATAGTTATGAGATTTTACACCAATATGCATAAAAACACCTTTTCATTTTCAGACCTTGATGATTGCTATCAGTGTTCAGAGGAAAAGTATCCGAGCAAAAACCAGGATTTGTGTATTCCCAAGAACATCAGCTTTCTTTCGTACGAAGAACCATTGGGGATGAGTTTAGCTTTTTTTGCTCTTTCGTTCTCCTTGATCACTTCTCTGATTCTCAGAACATTTAAGAAATTTCAAAGTACTCCCATCGTCAAAGCCAACAATCGGAGCCTCACCTACATTCTTCTCATCTCTCTTCTGCTCTGCTTCCTTTGCACTTTGCTGTTCATTGGCCGCCCAGAGAATGTGACCTGTCTGCTCCGCCAAACGGCCTTCGGCATCATTTTTTCTGTGGCTATTTCTTGTGTGCTGGCCAAAACAATTACTGTGGTGCTGGCTTTCATGGCCACCAGGCCAGGATCCAGGAAGAGGAAATGGGTGCGTGAAAGTCTGGCCAATTCAACTGTGTTTTCCTGTTCCCTCATGCAAGCAGGCATTTGTACTTTCTGGCTAGCCATGTCTCCTCCATTCCCGGATGCTGACATGCACTCTGTGACTGAAGAAATTGTCCTAGAATGTAATGAAGGGTCTGTGATCCTGTTTTGCTGTGTCTTGGCTTACATGGGATTCCTGGCCCTTTTGAGCTTCACTGTGGCTTTCTTTGCTAGGAAACTCCCCGATGCTTTCAATGAAGCCAAATTCATCACCTTCAGCATGCTGGTCTTTTGCAGTGTGTGGTTATCCTTTGTTCCAGCCTACTTGAGCACAAAGGGAAAATATATGGTGGCTGTGGAAATCTTCTCCATCTTAGCTTCCAGTGCTGGGATGCTGAGTTTAATTTTTTTCCCTAAATGCTTTATAATTTTGTTGAGGCCTGAGTTAAACAAAAAGGAAATATTAATAAGGGGTAAAGCACAAAGTACACAAGTGTAATTTGCTTTCTACAGTAATTGAAAGATATGTCAGCACACATTAGAATAGAATGTCTCTGAGATTTTCCCGTTCAGTCATTGCCTGGCCAGTGCTGTAGCTGGCTTGATAAGTGGAGTCTACTTGGATCACTGATTCACCCCACCTGTGGCTTTCCTTTCCACTGCACATATGCACCCCACTTTTGGCTTGGCTTACACTTATATTTATTTTTTTATTTATACATTCAACTTATATACTGCTCTAATCCTTGACGGGTCTCTGAGCGGTTTACATATTAGGCAGTATGCTTGTTGTTTCCAGTATCCCACAGATGGTAACCAGTTCACTAAACACCTTCCTAATCACACTCTTCTGTACTGCTTTGTGGTTAATCTTTGGCTTTCGATATCTGGCTCCTTTTGAGCCCAACTGGCCACCAACCAGCTGTCCTGACTCTGCCAGACCGTTCCTCAGCCCTCTCTTAACCACCTCTCCCAGTTCCTTTAGGAGCAATGTATTTGAGTGTTTGTGACAACTGATGTGTTTAACCTTTCACCAGTATGATCACTGTACTCTTTCCTTTAGAGGGACTCAGTAATCCAGACTATTCAGCCCCAGTTATCTGTGCTATTAGACTGTTCACACAGAGCTATAGAGGTCTGCTTCCTCCCCAGAGCTCCTCAGTTATTTGACCGCTCTCTGCTAACTCCACTGATCAACCCCCCTCCAACTGTCAGCTCCCAATTGTCAGTTAGGTCCGTTTTCTGTCACTCATGGAGTGCTCCAGCCAAAAGGCCCCCTCCCCTCTTGGTCATGTGACTCAGCAGGGATCTATCTCAAAATTCTGCTGGTCCCAGATTTTCATTTCCATCACACACTGCCACCACTCTGGTTCCAGGCCCCCTTGAGAAGTCCTAGAGCACCCTCCCAACACCTTCTGACCTCCCTTTTGGCCAAATAATAGGCAGGAGGATCAGGCAGAGTGTACAATGGAAATAGTTTATTTTATAGGAGGTCAAACAACAAGGTGCAGAAGAATAACAGTAAGTGGGTGAAAAGAAAAGAAATCAAATGCCCTAACACGTCTAAATATATACTGTCCCTAGCTCACTACTCCAAGTGGCACTAGACTACTCACCCTTCCCTCAGGATGAGGGTCTCTTCCCCACAGCAACCTCTCCTCGCCCTGTTCCCTGGGAAGAAGAAGAACATTTTCTGCTGCACCAGATGTTTTATTCCAAGCCCTCCTCTTTTCCTGTTGGTCAGTTTTGGCTCCAAAACCTCTCAGGGGCTTCTGGGAGTTGTAGGCCCAGCCTCACCTACTGCTGGCCAGGCTCCCTGGGCCTACTAGGTCTCTGGTGGCACAGCCCAGATCATGACAACCCCATCTATGGTTTTCCTTTCCACAGCACATATGCATCCAGTAATGAACCAGTGGTACTAATTTCAGCATCGTTGGGAGCCTCACTTGGTATTAAGTTTTATTTTTATCGTTGTTTTATTGTGATTTCTTGTCTCATTAGTGCAACTTTTATTGCAGGTGCCTTCGATCTTGCTTTGTGGAAGACACGGAGAGTAAATAAATAAATGTTGCATTTTTTGATTTTTTTGTTGTTGCTAAAAGATTGTCCAGTTCAGGAGACCCTGGAGCTAATTCATCTCCAATTGAAGGATATTTGCTAATGGATAATAATCCAGGAAGGCTTTCTTCATGAGGCATTTACAGAAAAATGTTGCTAACAGATAAGAAAAGCAGTAGAAAATAGAAATATCTGCAAACAGTGCTGGAAAATAAAGAATTTGAAATCAAAACTTTGTACTCAATTAATTGTTTATTTCAATACAAAATCAGCTTTGAAAATCCAGCAATTATAACAAGAGAAGAAATTGGGGGGAGGGATAAAATAAAGGGATAAAACTGTAAGGGGACCATGCAGTGCAACGGGGATCTAACATTGAGCACAAATTGTGGAGTGGCAAAGAGATACTTTCCGATGACAGAGAGGCAATTTCTGGACTTCAAGCAGGCATCTTCATATTCCACACACCTTAAGGCAAAAATTCACAACTTTATTAGTTGACTCCTGGGAAACATCTGCAGGAAGGAGAGAGATATATAGCTGTTCAGATCTTCCTGGTAAAATTGACAGAATTGGAGCTATATATTGTGAATGGATGTCATTGTAAAATGGGCAGTGCAGCAGAATGTGTTGAATACTCTACTTTCCCTGCATTACATGGGCAGAGCCATTGAGAGTGTAGGACACAATGGGATCTGCCTTTCAGGAGTGCCGAGGGTAGTATGTTAAAGTATGTGAGAGTAAAGATTCTCTGATAGTTGGAGATTGTGATGGATCTGAGGTAATCTCCTGGTTGAAAGCATTTAGTATATCGGAGAATAATTGGATATTTCCATGTCTATGTTCTGTCCAATTGTAGAGCTTGATCCCAGAGATACTGTTGCATTAACTTTTTGGTGCCGAAGGCTCAGTAAGACTTTGGTGGGGGGAGGCTAGTCTCTTGGAGTTTTCCTCTTTGCAGTTTGCCAATCTGATCAGTGGCTATCATCAAGGGTCAAGAGGGCTAGGCCCCATGGATCAAAGGCAAGTTTTAACCACTAGGTGGCTGCAATGAGCCACATATGGGTCTCCAAGGAGATCATAGCAAACTTTAATCTAAGGAAGGCATTTGGGATGCATTGCGGGACTCCAAGGACTGATCACAAGAACTTGAATTGTGCTGCTTCCAGTGAGCATCTGTCTTTAAAGAAAGAGTTGAGAGCCATATAGGAGCTGAATACAACCTTTCCTTGGAATACCTTGATTGCTGCAGGGTCAAAAAAAGCTCGTTTTGTAAAGTAGAATCTGAATGGCAGAGGATGCAGGGCTGACTCTGAACATGTGCCAAGGGCAGAGTTTCCCAGTCACTCCTGCCTTCCCTTCTTCATCAGTGAGTGACAACCGGCAGGTTTTTGAAACACAGTCTGCTCCCTTAAACAAGCAATATTTTATTACAAGCAGATTATCACACTAGATGACAGGACAAGGGAAAATGGATTTCATATCTACTAGCGTCAGCAGACATAACAAAAAAAATGGAAATCATATTTCTAAACTGATGTTAACAATGCTGACAACCTCCACATCTCCCTCCATGAATTTTTGTGGCGCAAATGATGATTCTTCCCCCCCCCCCATTATGCAGGGAAATAAACAAAAGTCCGCATGGTCAAAGCAATGGTATTCCCAGTAGTCATGTATGGCTGCGAGAGTTGGACTATATGGAAGGCCGAGCGCCGAAGAATAGATTCTTTTGAACTATGGTGCTGGAGAAGACTCTTGAGAGTCCCTTGGACTGCAAGAAGATCAAATCAGTCAATCCTAAAAGAAATCAACCCTGACCGTTCCCTGGAAGGCCAGCTAATGAAACTGAAGCTCAAATACTTTGGCCACCAAATGAGAAGGGAACACTCACTGGAGAAGACCCTGATGCTGGGAAAGATTGAAGGTCAAAGAAGACGGGGACGGCAAAGGATGAGATGGTTAGACAGTGTCATTGATGCAACGAACATGAAATTGAACCAACTTCAGAGGACGGCGGAAGACAGGAGGGCCTGGCGGGAGCTGGTCCATGGGGGCGCGAAGAGTCGGACTCGACTGTGCGACTGAACAACAACAAAACTGGATGTGCAGATCATCTAAACCCTCCCTGCTTTAACTGTCTGAAAGTTCCTTAACAAATCCAGAATTACAGAGTCCTCTCCCTCATGGGATGGTGAACTCTATCTCCAAGGGGGCAGGGCTGGGTGCTTATGTAGTCAGTGGCAGGCTGCTCAGAAGCATGGGATGCTAATCTCATGGACTGAGGTGGTGCCAGCTTAAAATAAAGCAAGGGATTGTGGGCTGAGATGTGTCTCAATTTCAACCCCCATCTGATATTCTGGACTGATGGCATCACTGAAACTCAGGGGCATGGTGTAATGGAGAAATCCCAATTGCTTTCACCTATGCATTCCAACTTCGATGGTGACCCAAAATGGAGAACTAGGTCTTCAGAACTTTAGCTTTCTTGTGGGAAGTTCTGTCCGTTATTGGAAATAAGTACTTGTGAGACATGTGCCCTGTTAGTTTTCAGCTTGAAGCAGCACATTGAGGTTCCTAATCACAGATAGCTTTCATTCACGAGAAAGCTATGGTAGGATAGAGCACCCAGCTACCAATAAATCTACTCTGGGCTAAAAAGTCTAACTTTGGATTGCCTTATAATTCTAGCTTTTATGGAGCCCTTATTTCAAGGATTTCTCTGCATTTCCTCCAGGTGATTCACTGTCCTACCATCATGGCCAGAAGTTGTCCACTTTTGACCATGATCAGGACCTTTATGTGTAGAACTGCGCAGCCCCACCCTTGGGCACTTTGTGGTTCAAGAGCTGTCATTTGTCCAACCTTAATGGCTTCTACCTTGGTGGGGGTCAATGACATTAACTTGGCTGCTTGGAAAGGCTCTACTATATCCTAAAGAAAAGTGAGATGAAAACACACAGCTTCTGAGACCCAAGATGACCAGTGATCTGTTGCCATTCTGGCACTTGGTCACTGCAATGACGATGTAGGTTGGCTGCCCAATTCATTTTAAAAATTGATTATATTGTGAAGAGAGTTCAGAATCTGGGATTGGTTTAGTGGGGAACTGGGGTACAATGGGACAATTGTTTGTGCAAACAAATCTAAACCAGTTTCCTGCTTGTTTACCCTGTCATGTCATGGCTACAAAATATCTCACAAATTTTGTACCACTCTCACAAAAATACTGTGGACTGTCAATACAGTCTGAGACCTATGTCTATAATGAAAATAGGTTGTATTTGTAGTAGTTTGGTGTAGTGGTTAGGAAACCAGACTCCAGTCTGGGAGAACCAGGTTTGATTCCCCCCTCCTCCACATGCAGCTGCTGATGTGATCTTGGGCCATAGTCATAAATTCTTTTTGAGCTGTTCTCTCAAGAGCAGTGCTCAAAAGAGCTCTCTCAGCCCCACCTACCTCACAGGTTGTCTGTTTTGGGGACAGGAAGGGAAGGAGATTGTAAGCTGCTATAAGCCTTCTTTGGGTAGTGAAGGGCGGGATATAAATCCCATCTCTTCTTTGTCATTTTAGTTAGGGCCAGGATTGATGGTTTCTAGTACAGTTGGCTAGACTAGCAAGATGCAAACTAAAAAAAATTTCAGAAAAATCTCCATTGCTTGGTACCCCTTATTTTTTTATGTTTTAAAATGGCCCATTATCTGAAACCATTATGGATTAGAAAGTTACTCTTCCCCAAGTGCCATTTAAAAAGGGTTTAAAAATGAGACAGCTCCTGCCTTTCCCTCATGTTCCTCCACTGGGTCATAAGCCTAAATTACTATCTGCACCAGGGTGGGGCAGTTTGGTCACTTAAGTCAAAGAAAAGGAATATACACTACTTGAGAGCAACACAACGACTGAGGGAAACTAAAAGGTTTTGGCTGAAAAAACTGCCTGTGAGTTGGGAAGTGACTGGGACCTGTCATCAACCCACTTACTCAAGGATAATCTCTTTCCATATGAAGAAGAAGAAGAGGAGGAGGAGGAGGAGGAGGAGGAGGAGGAGGAAGAGGAGGAGGAAATTGGATTGATATATATGTTCATGTGTGCCAACTATTTTCAGCCACCTACTGGCTTTTCCTTCACAAGATATCCCACATTACCAGCAAGACCCTGTTACTGTTCTATTCTAGCTTTTATACAGACGTTTGGAATGCTTTGGAAGTGAGAAGGTGCCATCACTAGAAAGCTTCAGATATGTATTGCAGAACCATTCCATTTTCTAGGGCTTTTAGTAGTGCATAAACTGCAGGAACGTTTTAGGGAGCATTATTTGGGATTTTACTTTGTAGGTCCCAGCTTCCTTCAGCCATATTTTCTTCTGGAATTCCAGTGGGAACCCCAACTTTGATCATTATCTTCCCCTTCAATAAGAAAAGGGCCATTATTTAATTTGCCACTTGACCAAATCCCTATGGACTTTCAGTGTGTTCCTATAAAACTAATTACAGGGATGGTGAAAGTTGGTCCAAATATGCCTCATCACAACTACAAATGAGACCAGTGACTACAAATAGGCTAGACTAGATCCATCAGTCTGATCCCTGAGAATTTACATTTGAAAATTTGGGCTTCAGTTTTATCAGCAGAATGTAAATTCCTATCAGGCTGTTGTAATCCTCAGAGGTCTGGTGACAGTGCCTGTCGACAGTAAAACCAGGGCCTGTATTTAAGGAAGATGGAGGTATTTGTGTTATTACAGCTGCTCCTGCTTTATCACAAAGTATTTAATGCTCACATTGTGAAGTGTAGGATTAGAAACCTAGAACCACCCATCCAAGAGTATCAGCAATCAGGAGACCTCTTTGTTGGTGCTATTGCTTCTCAGAGTTTCAACATCAATCCCATAGAATTCACTGAATACCCCCGATTTGCATTGGCGGATGAGCTCGCGTAAGCATTAATGATCTCTAAGTTAATTTTTACATTTCCTTTTCAGCTCCCTGGGTGTTCGGTTTTGGCAGCAATGGCCCATTACCATTCTAAAAATTAATCAAATGCCTTTGAGTTAATACACTGTGGTTTCCTTTGTCTGCTTGAGTTCTTCTTGTGGCTACTCTTATGTCCATTTCTGCCCTGATTTCCTTCTGCCTGCCTTCCTGTTACCACAGAAGGACATGTGAACCTGCCTTCTATCAGGTCAGGTTAGTGCTTCACAAAACACAATATTCTCGTCTCTTTCTGGCAGCAGATTCCCATGGTTTGCAGCGAGGAAGGTTCCTTACCAACACTGTTTCCTTGTGATCCTTTAAGTGGTTGTAGCAGAGATGGAATCTGGGACTTTCTGTATGCAAAGTGCTCTGCAGCTGAGTTGAAAGCCGTCCCCATGGGCTTTCCAATCTCTAGGATAGGTAGTGGTTTCCACTATTAGTAAATTCATTTTGAACAGTCTTTCTTTTGCACATATTCCTGGATGCATAACTAGGAAGCATGTTTCAGATCTTTCCTGAGGCTGAATGAGGTTGTTAAATGATGCAATAACATCTCAGGTTCTGGAAGCTCGGGCAGGGGTTCATATGAATGTTCCTTGGAGCTTCTCAAAAGAAGGGCAGTATACAAAAGACAATGCTTTTTAAAGTTGGTGCTATCCTTGTATCTCAGATCTTTCCTGAGGCTGAATGAGGTTGTTAAATGATGCAATAACATCTCAGGTTCTGGAAGCTCGGGCAGGGGTTCATATGAATGTTCCTTGGAGCTTCTCAAAAGAAGAGCAGTATACAAAAGACAATGCTTTTTAAAGTTGGTGCTATCCTTGTATCAATCATATCGTGGCTCAATTGGTGTAAAATATCTTTCTGATACAGCTCCTCAAAAGAAGGGCAGCATACATAAGACATGCTTTTTAAAGTTTGTGCTATCCTTGTATCATTCATATCATGGCTAAAACAGAAGTCCTTTATAAATGATAATAAATAGCAATAAATATAATAAATGTATAATCATAAAGAATAAATGAAAATGGCGCAGAATACAATGCAATGGATGTAAAATATCTTTCTGATACAGCGTTCAATGCAATTCTCATTCCAGTACCATACCTAAGCATTACCAGCACATGCTGGCCTTGGAATACGCTGTAAAGGAGATCAATGAAAATCCAGCAATCTTACCCAATGTCACCTTGGGCTTTCAAATCTACGACAGCTATTTCAGTGCTAAGCCGACTTATCATGCCATAATTCAACTGATGTCCACTCCAAAGTTGTCTGTTCCTAACTTCAAATGTGACGTCCAGAATAATCTGCTAGCCATCATAGGGGGATTGGACTCCAAGACCTCTCTCGATGTGGCAGCAATGCTGGGCATCTATAAGATTCCACAGGTAAGGTGGAAAAGTGTATGGGCATTTAACCCTTCTCTTATTCTTCCAGAATCATTTATCGGGTGGAAGAAGAAAATAAATGCATATATGTATTTATGATGGCTGAGTGTATGGGGGTTTGACACTTTTTATAACATTCTGTTTATTCCTCCAGAATTAATTATTCAGTTGAAGAAAACAAAGCATTTAAAATATAGTTACATAGATGTTTTTTTCTCAACTGCTTTGTCTGTTATTGCATGGGAAAGCAGCACATTATTATTTATTCCCATTCCAAAATCTTTAGCTGATGTACGGTTTTGCTCCACTGATGAAGGATAAAAATCCAGGACTCTCCTTCTACCAGATGTACCCTAATGAAGCCCTCCAGCATGCAGGGATTCTCTCCTTACTACTGCACTTCAAATGGACGTGGATTGGGGTCCTTGTTATGGATGATGACATGGGAGAAAGCATTGTGCGGACTGTACTTCCACTGTTTTCCAAGCATGGTGTCTGTTTTGCCTTCATACGTAGAGGGAACACATCCTATGTTGGCTTCATTTAGCATGCTTTTCAAGAGCTTTCAAGCATTAGGGCTTTTATTCGCATGCATTTATCTTCAGATTCTGTTTAACTATTCCCTTCATTTTTTTTTTTTTGTAAAGTTCCCTCTTTTGAACTCAAAAGTTACTGTTTGGGACTTTGGGGTAACCTTCCAGAGACATGAATGTTGACCTTAATAGCATTGTGGTCTCTGTTTCTAACTGATGCAAAACATGTACATTCTCACCAAGTCAGAACCAAGTCCAGGATCACTACCCCTGTGGGTGGCTCTGTGACCAACTGTTCCAGTGTACAGTCATTCATAATGTCTAGAAATCTCATTTCTGCAGCCTGATTTGAGCACGTTTATCCAGTCAATGTGAGGGTAGTTAAAGTCTCACAGTATCACAACATTATCTGCTTTAGACACCTCTCTTATTCAAGGGCAGTTCTCGGGAGAGCTGTCTCAGCCCCACCTACTTCACAGAGGGTCTGCTGTGGGAGGGGGGGGGAAAGAGATTGTAAACCACTCTGATACTCCTCTGGGTAGTGTAGAGCAGGGTGTAAATCCAGTCTCCTCCTCCTCATTCTGCATTTCAACATCAGCCTCAAGGTTTTGATCAGGTTTTGATTTGGGCAGTAGTACACCTCTATTTTTAAGTAAACCTTAAGGCCCAGTATTTCCACCCATATAACTCCTGTTCATCCCCATAATGTTTTCTAACTTATTTGAGTCTATGTCATGTTTGACCTCCACAAACACATCCCTTCTTGGCTCAGAGGTTTATGGCATAGGTGTCTAGCTATAACACACTGCTGCCTTCATAAATGTAATTCTGAAAGATCCAATATATCAAAGTCCAATTGCTGCATTTCTAAAATCTTGCTTTTCCACCTAGCTCCACTATTTCCTTAGAAATATTGAATTTAACAACAGTGCTGGGGAAAAAATTTCATTGAACGAGAACGGGGAGTTAATAGCTGGATTTGACATTGAGAACTGGATTATTTCCTCAAACCAATCCTTTCACAGAGTGAAACTTGGCAGGATGGATCTCCAGGATCCCCATGTTCATTTCCAACAAGCATTCACCATCAATGATAAAGACATCACATGGCCAGACTGGTTTAACCAGGTAGGATCCAGTGGCCCAAAGTTCAAAGCATCTTTTAGTTATGAATTAGCATTGAATTGCAGACCTTTCACACTGGTGAAAAAGGGACAGACAGGTCCCCTTTGACCACCCCCAAAAGCTATTAGGGGCTTCATGGGACCTGTCTGAAAAAAGCCATATGGCACCAGAATGATAGTAATGAGGAGAACTGGGTGAGAATGAGTGAAAAAGCCCACTTGATGCCTCATTTGTTGTACAAAGAAATTTTACTGGACTGTAGCGAGCAACTAGAAAACAGTAATTGGCTGTTAGAAAACAATATTTGGTTTAATTAAGAACATAAGAACATAAGAGACGCCAATGTTGGATCAGGCCAAAGGCCCATCCAGTCCAACACTCTGTGTCACACAGTGGCCAGAAATACCAGGTGCCATCAGGAGGTCC